GTTATGAATTCTATATATAATAATATATTTAACTTGACAGAAATAACATTGATCAGATTATTAAAACCATTGCAGGAACTTGTTACTTATATCTCTAAACATGCGAAATTTACGTAATAAATATTAGAACAATCGCTTCTCATTATAATGAGTTTAACAAAGAGAAACCGAGAGGTAGATATTACAAAATACATTTTGTTTAAACTTGAGACCCTCTTGATACCACAGAGTTATTTCTCTCTCCCTCTCCCCCTTTCTCTTCAACAAGATCGTTTGTTTATTTCAAGATACTAAATGTGTTATTTTCAGGATTCGCAATCCTGTAACGTTTTCGTGCAATATCTTCGCGAAAAAAACTCTTCGAAACTCACGAGAATTATTTTCCACTTCGTATATCACAGTAGGAAAATCATTAGTCACGTGGAAACAAAAACAATCGCGAGAGAGAGAAGTATTCTCTCTATTAAGGAAGTTTTTGAATGATGTAAGGAGAGTTAAAAACTGACCGGTTTTGTCGCGTGAAACCACTAATATTCTCTCCCTCTCTCTCTCTCTCTCTCTTGTTTTCGGGAGCGCTGAACCCGAGAATCTTTTGCCATTTTCACGCCTTTCTGATAGCACAACCGCCGTCTGTGGTATATTACGGGCTCATCGCCCAGCTCGTTAACCCTCGCTCGGAGTCGCGTGAAGAAGCAACTTCTTTTTAGCATCGTCCCAGCGACATCGATTTTAGATAAAGTCAATGAACTGACGCGAATTTCCGGCGTTAATGGCGACTACAGACTGGACCGGGAAATAACATAGCTGCTGTTTGGACAAATTAAATAGTATCGACTGCCACCGCGCGTTTACCACCTGTGACCTTCGGATCTTTCTCTTCTTTTTTTTCTTTTAGTCGTACACTCGTTTTCAGCTGTGTCGAATCCTGCCGCAATCTATCACATTCTGACAAATGGTGAACTTTTCGTTGCCGAGACTCGCGCGACTTTTCAACGCGGTATATCGCAATCGCACAGGTAGGACAAAAAGAGGATAAAAAAGAAATAACTTATATAAACTTACTTTTCGTACGACAAATCAAATAGCTTCGATCGATATTGACATCGTATCCTTACTTGAGAAAATAATAATAGACGAAGGGGAAACATCGAGGGCGATGGAGTGAAGCGACTGAATAGTGGAGTTTCTTGTAAAGGTCAACGAGAGGCTTACGTAGAAGATTGAACTTGGTGATATAGAAACGATTCTTGTGTTCGATGAGCTGTCACAGATATTGATTTAATTCGGTATCTTTGAGGGAAAAAAGTGATAAAGCAAATTATCTGATATCACGGTGAAGCGAAAATCAGATGCAGGCGAGAACGAGGAAAAAGGGCAGCCCGCACAATTGAACTTCATTTTACTTATTACGACGGAGAGGTAATGGAGTTGTCCCCGATTACCCTCGGTAATCATGCAGAAGCAAAAATCGACCAAATAGATTTGTCGCTTGTTTCGAAGGCAATTGCGATTACGTCCCCAGCATCTATCGTGTCGTTTATTTCACTTTGTCATTTCCGCTATTTTCTCATTACTCACTATCGGCCGCCGCGCCGCCGTTCGCGTCTACCTTACTTCTTTACCTTATTGTACCGTGCGGTCGCTCGAGAAGGATGTAATTTCTGTGCTGCGAGAGGTGCTCTATCGATCTATTTGCTCGACTGTAGGAGCAAGCTCGGAGCAAGCATCGCTGGTGTGACATCTAAAATTCGTCGCGCCCAATTTGCACGCGGGATTAAGCACGCAGAAGAGCGGTCATTGCGCGTCCGTTGGTGCGGGTTTATCATGAAATATTATAGCGCGTACGCTCGTTGGAGAAATTGCGCCGCGATGTTGACGGGATATGACGGACGTGAAAAAATAAAACCGTCCATAAAACCGTGGACTGCAGATCCCTTTATCCACCATTTACGTCCGAAACGTTCCGAGCGAACAATCTGAGAGATTGGCCGACAATTTATTATACCGTAATAAAATCACGCTCGCCACTTCTTCTTTCTTGCTACCAAATGATAATCACGTTGAGAATTTGCGAAATCAGCAAGAAATGAGCTCATGCGACGCGCTGAAAGGCTAACAAATTGCGGTGTACAGAGAGCTACATATAATAAAGGCCATTTTATACTCGATTTAAAATGCGCGACAGAATTTGTAGGAAAATCCACTATAGAATTTCATTTCAAAAATTTTGTTAATATACTGGCGCAGAAATTTTTATTTTAAAAATATTCTTTGCATGATAGAATTGTGAATATAAAATTCTGTCACGAATTCAATTGCGAATTATAGTTCATGTAAAATGAATCTAAGCGCTTCGAGATGCACAAGGTAGAAACTCACATAAACGTGGAGGCAGAGAGAAATAAAAAGCAGCATGGATAGTATAAATTGCGAGCATTCGCTGATTCTAGCAGAAAGAATGAATGTAACAACATGACTGTTCTTTGTTGCTCCTCAAATTAAATTTGATGCGACACAACTAACTGCTCTTGGTACTATAAGAGAAAATCCTCGGCGAACCTACAGAGTGCTCCAAAGTGGCTCTAAGACACTTTGTATACCTAATGAAAATAACAACAAATTGGCAAAAGAACTCGACTTGCTCATTTGTTTTATGATAAACAGTTTACTGATGAAACCTTAAATCTGCGTAAAAGGTTATTTATAATCTGAAAATAAGTTTAGAATACGTTCTTTAATTCGTCCGATTCAATCTTTATTTATTCAATTGATTTCTTAATTTGTATAAAATTTATGACGTCTTGAAATAGCTAAATATAAATTATTAAACTATTGTACTATTTTTGAATTGAAATGTTATTTCTTGTTACGTTATATGTGAATTTATAAACAAAAGTATTATTTGTATATATACTTATATATTGTATATATATATATTGTATATAATAGTATATCATTTACACAAATAATATTGCAACGAGAAAAAAATATGTACAGAAAATATCATGTTTTGATTTAATTCTTGTTTTGAAAAACATACGAAATGACGATAAAGCAGTCGTAATTTAAGACGCAAGAATAACAACTCAAAATAATACTACGCGCGCGCGCGTTATAATAATACATTATATTTTTATATAACTACAAATATAAATGACTATTATATGAGATATTCCATAATGATGATACAATATTTTAATAATATTTTGAAAATTAATATTAGAATCAAAAATTCTGATATACAAAAGAATTGAAATCATACTGATCCTCATAATTGGACATCTTTGGTTTTGAATTCTTTGTGATTGTAATATTTATAACTGTGAAAGGAATACAATAATCGATTGTACTTCTAAGAACTTGATAAGAGAGAAATCCAGATCTCTTATTTTAAAATTAAATACAATAAGAAGTCTGCTTAGAAATTTAAGAGACATATCAGTCATATATCTACTGCATGCTGTAAGAAACTATAATTTATGCTTATTGTTAGTTATAACTTTTCCATTTGCTTGCAACAACATCTATGTCAAATTAATTTTATTTTCATCTTAATTACGCATTAATTCACAGAAACAATACAACTTGGGAGGATATCGCATTGTCGATCAAAATCTATTTGCATAATCATGAGTGGTATTTATAATGATTGAGCGATACAACGATATATATCCATTTCCGGAATTATTCGACAGAGAGATTATCAATTTTTAATATATGATATTGAATTAATTATTACACTTAGCTAACGTTGGATCATTTTGCGCTGTATATTTTTAATATATAAAATGATATAATTACAAAATGTTGATACATATGTGATGCGTAAAAAGAAAAGAATTAAATTGATTAATTTTTTTCAAGTATCGTAAGAAGATTTAAAATCGATTTAAAGAACAAATATTTGTTTTTAATATAGTGTATGTTTGTGCATGCGTGTGTGTCTACTAATTCGCTGTAATTTTCCCCATGTCACGTTTTGCTACAAGACGATCGCTTTTGAAAGCAATCACTTTAATCGAATAGCACTTAATCCGTTATTCGAATAGATTTCTCACTGAAACTTCGGTCTCAGGTGTGGTGAAAGCAATGCTGACAAGGTTCGCACGACTTTACTCCATCTTTTGCCTGCTTCGCGAATATCCGAGCTTACTGACATCGACCGATAAATTGTCGAACGAATACGAGAGAAAAGGAGGCGGATAATGGATTTTCTAAGGACACCGAACGACGAGGTAGAAGGAATTGAAGCCTCGGTTTGATTAACGTTGCCCTTTCGACGTGCACTGTAATTCTATCCCCAATAAGAAGATAATCATCAACACTCGAAAAGAGTCACGTCCGTTTGGCCAGAATTAATATTGCTAGCATGAAACTTGAAAGTTTAATTATTATTGAGTTGTTTAGAGAATTGTTGACATTTTATTCACGGACTATACTCTAAATTCTTTTCTATTCTTGCATGTATCCTCAGTCTCAAATGTTACGAAGGTAATTAATTTCTCCTTTAAAATTGTCCGCAATAAAAAGAAGAAAGCGGTAGGTGCGCAAACAAAAGAGAGAAAGAGGAAATTACGTTCCCAACGTGAATAAACGTCCTTTGGACGTCTCGATCTCTTTTCGCTACTTATTTTCTGACACACGAACGGAACAGTTTTACTAGACATTCACGATGAAAGGAAAGAGAAATCGGAATAGAGCAGAGAGAAAAAAATTTAGTTTGAAGTAAAAATCGATAGCCTTTATCCCTAGAAAATTCATCTTCCCGTCCCGTTTCGCAATTCTGTTATTTTCTATTTCACCAATAATTAAAATTTTTTTTATTTCAAAAAATAAAATCAAAATAAAAGATATTAAAAACCAGAATTAATCTTAAGTAAGACTATTAATTTTTGTATTGCCCCAAAAGTTCACAGAGACGAAACTTACTAATCGATCCAACTGCAATCTGATAGCGTAACATGCTTCCGGAAGCTGATAGCAAAGTTTTTCGATTACAGGACACGATATTAAGAGAATAGCTATCTATACTCCCGAAGATGAGAAACTGATAATGAACTGTCCAGGATGTGAGGCTACAAGATGGCCCGGAGGGCAAGTACCAGCGGCTCGCAGGGTCTTTCGGTACGTATTATCAATGTTATCGACGTTATCGTACTTGATTAAATCTGCTCAATCGTTATTAGATAATTCAAGCCTCGATGATCCTAATTTGCATATTAATGAATTAATGTGTCTAATTTAAATATTTCAGTAATTATATTTAAAAGATTTGAATCACATTTGAAAAGTTTTTTTGATTAAGAGTAATAGAGCATTGAAATATCAGCACTGTTCACATATTTTCATTATGTCTGATCTTATTATTACAATTCAGATGTAATAATCCATAAAATGTAAGGATTGATGATCTTTTCGTGTCCAAATGTTATTTAATGAAATAATCGCCGTTACGTGTAGAGTATCTCAAATCATCACCAGCGTCAAATATTTAGCTAGTTTCGACATGGGTTTGACAATAATTCCACGATGATAATTACAGTTTGTAGCGAGTTAGCGTAACATATTGTACGGCAATAGCGGTAGCAATTATAACATTGCGGAATAACGTGTTGAATTAATTTACACGCCCGTTCGATAACATCGTTCGATAATTCATCAAGCTCGAGGTTGGCAGGCCAAGTGATCGAGTTTGTTATTGCACACAGATTACGAATGGTGACAGTGGCACCCGCCGCGTTCCTCGCTATCACCTGCATTGCCAGCGTCGGTGTTACCTTAGCGCTCGCTTTTCTAGCATTTAATCTTCACTTTCGCAAGCACAAGTAAGTTCGATTCAAATTATGTATCTTCATGTAATTGATAAAGTAGAAAATATGGGAAAACGCGAGCATATCCAAGATTCTAAGAAAAAATTGTAATAAATTTCAATAAATATTTGTTTAAATAATATTAATTTAACATTTACTTATGATAAATAAGTGTTTACTAAATAAAAAAAGATAGTTGAATCAAGTTAATGATTTCTCTAGTACTAAATAATTATAAGTTTACATTTAGTAAATATTCACCTAGGACCATTCAAACAAATATTTATTAAAATTGAGTACATTTTTTCTCAATATATTTAAAAAATCGAAATATTTTCAAGAAAATTTTATATGTGACGTTTTGATCGATAATGATTGATTATATAAAAAATTTGACTATAATGATGAAATATACATCTCTATGAAATCTTATTAATTGTAAGAAAATAAAATAGATGGTTTATCTGTTAGGAATAAACTTTTATTTCGCCGTATTTACACAAGAATTTAATTCAGTGAAATAAACAATATCTCTCTCTAAAATAAATTTTAAATTACGAATATCTTCTTTTCAAGGTACGTTTTATAGAATATTCGTGGATAATGGATACACTCTGTAAATATTTATAGATTATTCTTAAAAAAAAAGAAATTGAAATGATTTGAGTAAGTGTATACATGATATTATCGATTTTACGAATTAAAATAAATCAAGACAGCTTACTTGATCGCGCTTGCTAGATTCTCAAGAATCCGTATGTAAATTGTCACGATACATCACTCAAGTCCATTATTTCTGGATATTGGCAGAAGCATAAAACTTTCAAGCCCGAGGCTGAATAATATGGCAGCCGTTGGCTGCGGTCTGGTCTACGGTGCTGTTATACTTTTGGGACTGGACGACGCCACGCTTCCCGACAGTGATGGTTATTATCCTACGGTGTGCAAGGTGATTAACATCTATTACGTAGGAATATTAACGTCCTCAACGACATGATCAATAGTATCGGCGTCGATTTGATTTATATACGCATGTTAACGATTCGCATTAATACTGGACGCCTCTTACATTATTGAAGGAGCATCTTTGTAAAACAATCTGAGAATTTTTTGTTGAAGAAAACTGATTGGAAAAAAACGCAATTTTTTATAAATTAAAACACGTAATAAGAACTGCAATGTAGTTATTTATTTGTTATCCAGAATTGTATATAAATGCGCGATAACTGAAATTGTAACACTTGCGCTTAACGGAATCAGACGGTAAATAATGATGCTCCTGTTTTCATACATTTTACACAATTTTCACATTCACACAAAAATTGGAGAATCGATTCTCTATAACAAATTGTCATACTAGCACAATACCACACCATGTCGTTTCGACCGTAAGATTATGATGCGTAAGATTTATCTCGTTGACATAGAAACATCTGTAAGAATTACTGAAGAAGGACCTGTGAGTTCCAAAATATATTATTTATATATATATTTTTTATATTTTTTATATTCATGTCGTTTTATATATATATATATATATAATATTGTAACTAGAAATTTATTTTAAAAAAACTTCATTACCACTCGATTCAGACCGTTTTTCCACTATACTTTGCATTGCAAAAAACGAGCGAAATCTAATGAAATTGTTTTTTTTTTGTCTTAATAATAATAATGCAATAAGCTTGCTCTTTCCTAAAAATAAAGATTAATATAAATATGCCATGCGTTTTTTTATCTACAGGCGAGAGTGTACCTACTATCGGCTGGCTTCTCCTTAGCTTTTGGCTCGATGTTCACGAAGACTTATCGGGTACACAGAATCTTTACGAGGAGCCGGAGCGGGGTTGTTAAGAACAAGGTTGGTGACATGTAAACAATTTTCCTCCCTCACTCGATACATGTAAACGTGACCTAACGCGAAACCAATATTTGTTTTTCGAGGGGAAAAGAATACCGTAAAGTTATACGCGCTTCCACACACTTGCGGAATCGATGTCCTGGTCAGACTCATAAATCGCACTTTATCGCTTCGTGTTTTACAGCTGCTCCAAGATACTCAGCTGATATTCTTGATCTGCATGCTCCTGGTGATCGATGTCGTTGTAGTGACTCTATGGGTGATTCTGGATCCGATGCAACGTCACCTGCAAAATCTCACCCTAGAAATAAGCCCACAAGACCGAGGGGTCGTCTATCAGCCTCAGGTAACCGATATACGAAATTCATGTCCGATTCGTACGTTTCGCCATCTCAGACGAGGTACTGACGACGACTGTGGCTCGAATGTCACGGTTAGACCACAGGAACTATGTTAACGAGCCGCAACCAATTAACCCGTACCTTTATTTGCCTTTACAGGTGGAGGTGTGCCGTTCGCAACATACGAACGGCTGGTTAAGCGCTCTCTACGTTTACAAAGGTTTATTACTCGTAGTCGGAGTCTACATGGCCTGGGAAACAAGGTGAGCTTAGGGATAAAGACATTTCCAAGTCCGCGGATACCGCATGTAAAGCAGGCTAGCTCCCTCGATAATAGAGATAATCTACTGCATACTTTATGCCGTTTTGGAAGCGAACCCACTATTAATTTCTCGCATATCTGTATATATAATTCCCACAGGAAATATTACTATAATCCTGCTTTAGCTTAGCCTTTGATTCATCATAAGCGGTTTAAATAAAATAGTTCGCCGGGACATTCCGTCATGTGTCTCCCGTAGAGCTAATAACAATAAGTCAGGTCACGGCGTTGAATATAATACTCATTGCAAGGAACACACAAAGTCAACACAAAATCAAAATGATATCGAAATGACTTTATTTTGATGTTTCAAATTAATAAGCTCTCAAATTGTGTGTAATCAAAATCATTTTGACTTTCTCTTGACTTGGTGTGTTCCTTGGGCGGTTCATACCCAGAGATATACAGTATATGAGTGAATCGCTAATGATTTCAGGCACGTAAAGATTCCAGCCTTAAACGACTCGCAATACATCGGTATGAGCGTGTACTTCGTGGTAATCACGTCGGGTATCGTCGTAGTGCTAGCCAATCTGATGCCTGATCGCGCGACCCTGGCCTTTGTCACGATCACTGCCCTGATTCTAGCCTCGACTACGGCGACCCTGGCGCTCCTCTTCCTGCCCCAATTAGCGAATATCCTGGCGGGAGAGAGAGCCGACCCAGTCGTGCAAAGTCTAGGTCTCAAGATCGAATGCAACACGCGTAGATTCGTCACCGACGACAAAAGGTAAGTAGCTGGCGGATGTCTTTTCGATCTAAAACGTAGGAATGAACAAAAAAGTGAGAGAAGAGATAATAAAACTCAATGGTTCTATAAGTTCTCACTGCGGAGGATAATCGATGGAGCGGATTGACCTCCAGACGTAATATCCTTTTATCTTACGAGAGATAGGATAAGAATTCCCTCGCGTTCTTTCTACGGAAATGTTGAGGAAAGAATCTCACATCGCATCGCACGATTTTGTGGCAAATAAAATTTCCATGAAATTAAAGAGCGATTATTATTAATTGCTGCGTTATTAAATATACGTAGACCAGTTCTTCCGAGAGAAACGTTTTTATCGCTTGAAAATTTACATGTATATATATATTATCTCGCTTATATTAACAAATATGTATATAAACACATAAGGGTAATTGTAAGATTACAATTTATATCTAAGTGAATTGATATAACCGGGTGATATAATCGGGAAAAAATTGAGGGTGATTTTATATGAAAAAATAAGTCGAAAATATGTGGATAAAAATTTTTTCATGAAGCTTTGTTTTTGAAAAAATTAAAAATATTCGATTTAATGAATCTCACTGTACACTATTACGTCTGCTCATATTTGTGTTTATTATTGCAATATCTGGGTAATCGAAAACACAAGATACTCACGCACAATTTTATGACTTTATAAATTATTGAAAATATTGCCCATTCTGTTGAATACACAATTTTGCTCTTCAAAATAAATTTTTATAATGAATGCTTTCTAACATGTTCTGGTACGTTAATTTAGCAAGTAAATCCAGCGAATATTTAAAATTGATTTTTTCGAAAACAAAGCCTCGTATGAAGAAATTTATTCTACATTTTAAACTTTTTTTTTTCATGTAGAATAATTTCCTCTTTGGTTATACCACTAGGAGATCGAGCACATAATTTTTTTCCTAGAGAAAAAACGTGAACAGTGAAAAGAGTTTCATGTGAATTCTACGATTTCGTGAGATCATGTAACTCATCTCCCAACCGTAAAAATGTGAAAGTTCACGTGAACTTATTTACTATGAATTATGGTGTTGGAAAGGCGGAAATCTAGAGAATTAATAAATATACTTCAGAATTAGAGTAAGAGTGTAGTCTGGTCGTGTTACTCTCCGCGATAGTTTATTATCTCGGGAGAGATAGATTATTATCTTTAAATAAAATGGGTTTTGAATACCAACCTAAAAATATATACAGACTACATATAATTAATATCACGCTATGCGTGAAAAGCTTCATGTGAAAGCTTGAAGAGTAAGAAATAAAAAATAAAAAGTGTGAAATGAAACGTGAAAAGTTTTACGTAAAAAATATAATTGATTTTTAGTTCACAAACATTCTATATAGAGACCAATCTTGGTTTTCGAAACCAAGGCGAAAAATTACAAAATTGAGCAAATTTATTTATAATTGATCAACACCTAGTGAATTCGCTCATTTTTATTATTTCCACCTTGTTTTCAAAACCGTAATAGGCCGCCTATATATGAAAATGATATTTACGTTTGTGGAAATTATCTAAATAATTTAAAGTTGGGCATTCCTTTAAAAAGAATCGTATTTCAGAGAGCTACAATATCGTGTGGAGGTGCAAAACCGAGTGTATCGTCGTGAGATGGCACAGCTGGAATTGGAATTGGCTAGATTGGAGAAACAGCTAGCACAAGAGCCAGTAGAGCCGTCGCACACCTCATCAAGCGCCTCAATCCCACAACGAAATCCAAGTATTGGAGGCGGTTTACCTCTTTTGTTGCTCAGTGTTCTGCCGCCGGTTATCCCCCGAGCTAGCTGGCCCTCCGCAGATTCGTCCGGTAAGTATAAATCGACATCGCGATACGGAGATCCGCCGTGCAATATAACGCTATTCCAACTTTTATTCGATTAAATACTTGCAATTTATTTTAGATGCTTATGGCTAATTCCTTCATCTCTAGATAACTTGATCCATGAGATATCTCCTAAGTATCTCGTGGATAAATGAGCTAAATCTGGGAGATATCTGGAAGATATCTTCATGGATAAGATTATCGGCAACTTATCTAGAGATAAAGAAATTAACCAATTAATCCTCGATGAATAAATTCTTGTTTAAGATACAACAGTCAGATAAATCGTGACGGTAAGAGCTATAAGGATTTAATTACATATTGCGAAAGTCGCGTAACATAATATTGATTGCGGCTAATAGAACCGATTCGTACATGTGATTCTGCGAAACGATGAATTGACTTTCATTAGTCTAAACTTGGAAGCTAAGGTTCGCATTGATTCTATGAAGGAACGACCTTCTTCGTCGAAATACATTATTTATTAAAGGCATGAAACCAAAGTTTGGCTGATGGAAATACTTGACGCAAAATGCGACTGGCAGATTATCGAAATAAGAGCACGGAAAGGCAGGAATAGACGTGTCAAAACTTGCACGACGAATCGAGCTTTGCGATAGCAGGAGAGAAGGAAGGAACTATAATTATTAATGTTTTTCTCTGTCTCTCTCTCTCTCTCGTCGTTTTTTTTCCGTCGATCAGATGTCCAAGGAAGGTGACAGAAATCCCTTTACTGCACGTAATTGCTTGAAAAACGTTCATTCACGCTCGTCTGCCTGAGTTGAAGCGTGAGAAAAGAGCTCGAAAGAGTTATAGAAGATATTAGTATAGCAGGAGAGAAAAAAGCGTTTTATTAAAACTCTTTCTCGAAATGTTTCTTACGTATTTCGTAAATTAGATTTGTGCAGAAACGATTATCGCTTTTACAAAAAAAAAGTAATACATGCATGCATAAATTTAGTACTCGAGACACTGTCGCACACTGCAAATCCAATTAGTGTATGAATAGTAATTTCAATATATGTGTATCATTTAGTTTTCAGTGTAAAAATGATTCTATTACACATTTAAAAGATGAACAATATTATATTGTTACATTTGTAAATAAGTAAATAACTTAATTAATGTACGACATCACATGAAATCACAATAAAATTACGTCGAGTTATCAGATTATATTTTATTTTTCAAAATTATGCTTTTCTACTGTGAATGTATTTTATAAATAATATATGAATGTTTATAAATAAAAAAATCAGAAAATTCTTTACATATTAGTTGAAAATTATATTTTTCGTATATACTTATTATTTTCAATCTTAAAAGAGGGACGATTTATAATTATGTCCTTAATTTAAAACAATATTTGGTAATTAAAGTCGTAAAGGACGAACAGTTAACATTTGTTAAACAAAGATATAAAGGCAAATGAGAGTCAACATTAAGAAACAAAGAATATCATCTTAACATTAATATATTCATATAAAATTTAAACACGTTACAATAATATAAAGTAATAAACAAAAAATTTAGCCGAATTGTTCATGAACAAAATTTTTATGAATATATTAATGTTAAGATGATATCCTTTGTTTCTTAATGTTGACTCTCATTTGCCTTTACATCTTTGTTTTTATTTGTTGTATCGAGAGTCCTTTATTTTACACTATTTGTAAGATATATATCCAAATTTGTACGTATTATAATAATTTGTATACAGTACAGTTATTTTTACACGAAAAATTAATCATACCGAAATCGCTTTTTATACACTTGAATTTGCAGTGCAGAGGTTTTAATTATAGTGCATTAATTATTTGTTATAAACGTTTTATATGAAGATATTCCTAGAGCTTTGTATATAATGCGGAGCAACAACTTAATAAAACAAAGTAGCGATGGACAATCCTCTTTAAAATATAGTTTTAGAAGTTATTTAACTTTAGACTCTCGGTCACCAGATCACGTCGTTGTCACGAGGCCACATTGAATAGCTGTACAGGTGTTCAATTTCACAGAAATAAATCCTTTTTCATTCTCATTTTAACTGATGTACTTTTTTTACAGACTGCATGGACAAAACGTGATAATCGTTCGTAATGAAAACTATTTTACCCGCTTACGTCGCTCGAGAAACACGTGCGCTTCGTAATTGATTTTGTTTATTCCTATCTGTCGAGCGCGTTGACAAAGGGAAACTTTGCTCGAAAACTTACAGTCTCACTTTGCCATTTGCAGCGCAAATACCACGCTTGCCTCGCGGAATATCCGCTTTCAACTGTCATGCACATGCATATTTACGCTCCGATAATTCATCGTCAACGCCGGAGAGCAAGACATGTATCGAGTACCGCGTGTACCAATTATCGTTAGCATCAACTTGACCATGATCGCGAGAATATCATTCAATATTATTAACAAGCAGAAGCTTGTTGGGCGAAAAGTTTCTCCACGTATATCGATTCTCCGTTCCGAGTTTCGCATTACCTTATACCTACACTCGTATCTGCAAATCCCGAATTCCCTCGATAAGTTCGGACACACGACAACGTACGTCAAGTATATAGTCTGCACACCGACTGCACGTTCCACCTCAATATTTCTAAATAACTACCGTGACTGGATTGAACAAGGTCAAAGACGCTGGTTATGTGTATGCATGCATACAGGGTGTCTTTCACCATCATTGCTGGAAAATTGTGGATTCTTTGAAAAATTTCAAAGACGATTTCTCTGAAGAAAACGATCAGAGAAAGAGAGCGTGACCTTTCAGATAGCTTTTCCATTTAAACGTATATTTATATTAATGCGATTTACGCTTTAATTAAGATTTTTAACTTTTAAGAAAAGATGATTCGAATTAAGAAAAAATTGTAGTCATAATTTTCTAAAAAATATCAATTTCTAATCTATTACGTCGCGGAAAAATATTCTTTGCTGGTAGTGTGAGTATACTCTATATACATCTTTACATTACGTAAATTATATTATTATACATATTGTGTACTACGTGATATATGATGTACTCGTTACATATCACAGTGTCTGTATACTGAAACTCAGATAACGGAAATATGTATTTAGTAATTATATATCGATCTTGAGTTCCTTCATATGCAAAGTATCAATGCCACTATCTGAATAACAAACATCCCTCGCATGTTGAAGATACGAATTATGCGCTTTTGTTTTGAATTTACATATAATTTACCATTATACAGCCTTTTAAATCTTTTTAATTAAGACGAAATTTTGAGGTAATGATGCGCAATCTTTTTTAAGGATTATTTTCAGAGAGCCACTTTTTTAAAAAAATCAATTTTGCAGGCAGCAAAAATAGAATTTTTATTTCGTTTGCATAAAATAGAAAATATGATTTTATATTTTTGGCTTTGAGCTGGCAGATCACAAATTGCGCACTGATATACAAGTAATATAGTAGATATACATATGTATAGTAAATATTTAAAAATATTTTAGGTAATAGTGTTGTTTCGCGAAAATACTCAGAAAAGAAAAATAATAGACACGCTTTCAAAATTTTACTATTACGACAGACACATTGGTGTATACGTATTTTCCCTCATAAGAAAAAAGAGAAAAAATTCGGAGTACTCGCACTGTAATAAATTTAAAACACAATTGTTTAGTCAGCAGTATTAAGGTTGGACGATAGTATTGTTTTTACTAAATGAATAACGCAAATCGATCAAAATAGATATAAAAAGATTCTTGGTTCATGGGTAACTTGGCGGAATTATCATGCATTTATTACAAAGGTAGATGGATGTCTCTTTTGAAATAGCGAAGGAATATTCCCAGTTGCGAGCGCGAATATTCATTGAATTCATGACTCACTTCCGCATAAATGTAGGTAGACTAAACTCGCGCGCGCTTTCGCGGCTTGTGCGGAATTCCGACAGCTAGGTAGAAACCAAGGTCTCAATTAACAATGTCCATCATAATGATCGCCCGACACATAATGGTGGTTCCGCGTCATGTACGAGTTTGACCCTTGTTGAAATTAGGCATACGTCGCGGTACCGTAGCATTTAGCAGTCAACCGGATCTGGAGCCCGGCGATCCCAGGCAAAGCCTGGCCGACCTTTACAAACTACACCGTCGCCGGGAGACCGAGGGTCCAAATCGGCTGGGCGTTTTTCAACGACTCTTCAGTCTCTTCGGCAGCAGGCCGAGTAGCAGAAAGACCTCCACAGCATCGTTCACCGGTAAGAGAAAGTGCCGGAGAATAAAAGAATAGAAGCACTTTACACCTTAAAGCGGGTGTGATATAGACACAATTTAACTATATATGCATATTGCAACGTCAGAAGCGAGTTTTCTCTCACAAAGGAACATTTTTACAAAAGCACGTCGTTATACACAACTGCGGAAGGAAATAAAAGTAAAAATTGGAATTTGGTCCGTCTGCCTATTGTATCGGAATAATTTGCGCTTTTTATTCAGTCGTGAAATGCTTGCGAGAAATAAATGTAAATTATTTTGAATTCGATTCATGTTGCGGTCCATAATCGTTTGTGAATTGATGGAAAAGAGCGGAAGGGAAGTTATTGCGTATTATATAACACATATAGTATTATACCATAGGTTTCGTATTTTGATAAATGTGGTTTATATATTTCCTGTGTGTTCCGCTCTCGTATTTACTATAATTCATCCACATATTTAATATACCTATGCAGCTTATTCTGCTTGTATTACCCTTATTAGGGGTTGCATCAGCGCTTCGAGTCCATATGGGTTACATCGCTGGTTTAGTGCCCGGCGCGAAAGCTGCTTCTACTTGCCAAGTGGATGCCCAAGGCACTCATTCACCTCATACACGATGCGGTTCAGGACCAATAATTAGCATTACTAGCGAGGAAGATCGTAGGTTAAGCCTAGTAGGGCTACGTCGCAAGGAAAGTAGCGAGCCTAAAGTAAATTTCAGCCTACCGCCACGTAAGTGACTTGATTCTTCAATATATTATCTTATAAATTAAATGTACGTCGTAATTTTATAGCTTCCGTAAACTCGTATATATATTTATTAAATTAATATTTAATTTTGACAAAAACATCGTTTTCTTTCTTAAAAAGAGAAAAAGATATGATTCTATAATGGTGGTAGTATCCGAACGGTGCTTTTCCAATATGTCTACATTGATATTCTCTAAAATATTTTAACATAATACATTTTATTATTGAAAGATAATGCAATGCAAGTGAATATGTATGAAAATGGTTTAAATTAAAAGCCTTTAATCTTTCATTAGTTAAATTTCTAATTTTTGTTTGAACTTTCGGTTTTGAGAGTTGGTTGTACTAAGTTAAATTCTACCTTTAAAAACCCATGTATTATAGTACTATTATTTAAATTCTACTAAATTAAAAAGTAAAATCCATGTGGTACTATCTTTATTCTAATTTTTGTTTGATAATGTCTTTTTTATTTGCGTAATATATTTTGTAATAAATTCATAAAGACGTTCTGAAGAGAAAACTTTTGTAAATTTAAACATTGCGATGTTGAATGTGTTTCAGAGACGAGCACGAGTCAGTCATCTTCTCGAGAAAAAATACGCGGCTCACCTCGGTTTCCTCATCGAATAATTCCAGCGAATAGTTTAAGCGCCATCGCACAAGGTACATCGATTACGAGACCGCATCGTTGGCATTCGATGGATGATGCGACGAAACCAAAGGTTACTCAAACAACGTCTCGTGGCTCGTGTAGTCCCAACTCCGACGTGTGGACCGCGAGCGAGGTCAAGGTTTCTTTCAGCGAGGCCAATACCGTCAGAGTCAAGAAACCACCGGATTCTTTAGCCTTAACTAATCAAGTAGATTCAAAGATGAGTCCAATCGATACAAGACTGGGTAGTGATTTGAGGAAGCTATTCAGAGAAAACGACAGCGAAGAGGCAGTCAGTCCCGCTGAACACGAACTGAAGACAATGCAGTCGAGTTCGTCGTCCTCTTCGTCCATGAAGATAATCGGTACCACTAGCGATTCTGTATCTTTAAAGAACGATTCCACCCCAGAGACTCGACACGATATCGTTACGAACATCTGTCAAGAATCAAAGCCTCGTCCAACGAGTCCAGTGATTTCAATAGTTGATATAGATAACCCAGGGGAGGAATCGAACGCTGATGTCGATAGTCATGTCGGTACTTCCTGCGAAGATAAGCAATCGACTCCTGTAACGTAAAATATTATGCACGTGATGATTTTAACAATTTTGTCTAAGTGATCTAAAGTGTATTAAAGTTTAAGAGAGAGAAAAAAGATGTATCAAAGAGGAATTTACGTTGATCTTTTTGTGTTCTACTTGCAAAATCTAATATTTCGAATTTCTTCCGAAAGTGGGACAGTGATTCTATTAAAATTCCTGATTACCGTAGTCGCTTAGACAATCTAAAACAAATTGAAAATTTCTATTTAGATGTTTCGTGTGACGACAGATGAATGAAAATGATCATGCAGCGTGATAAAAGATAATTAAAGTAATTAGGTGCGTATTATGTACTAGGATTTTCGTAACAGAGTCTGTATGTATATAATATATGAAAATTATATATATATATATATATATTAGTAATAAATATATATTAACTAGATTTAAATCACTATGTCAAAAACTGAGTAGATCTTTCGATAGTCAATTCAAAATCCAACGTTGAATAGTGTTAATGTTGTTTTAATTAATGTTACAATTGATTATTTATTAAGCGTTATATGATTCAGTCGGAAACTGCAGTGGAACGCTATAAAATCGACGTTATCAATGTAACATAGATCACCAAAAGGAAAAGACAATATGGTCATCCGGCTCAACTTGACGCGAGAATTGACTTTATTCGTGCTCAAATCAATAAACGGAATAGTGTGTTATGATTATGCGGAGACTCTGAAGTGACGTGTAAATTAAATGATGATCATGAACTAATTGCAATGTAATCTTAAATATGTGTGTTCGCTAAGTAATTGTGCCAAAAAAAAGAGAAAAAAGAAAATAGCAAATTTTAAGACCCGTAAGAGTATAAGTTTGTCTTGGAGGATTATAAAAGGGACCAACATCTATGATATCCTTCTATTTTCTTTGTAATGAAATAAATTGAGTAATCTTCTATAAATTGTGTTGTGAAAAGGGTACGTTGTTTTCGAAAAAATGTATTAGTTTTACCTTGCCTTATAATGATAAAGAAGAATAATAGAGATTAAAAAATAGAAACACACCTTCAACATTACTTTAAAATATTCGATTTATAATTAATGATATATTTACATCGGATATTCGAAGATAGAATACTTTCGCAACTTTAAAATTCTTAATAGAAAGGACAAACTGGAAATACCCTTACGGGACTGCAATCAAAGTGTTCAGTGCCCCAAACCCTTTCTCTAGTACCTGCGCTCATATGCAATGAAAATATATATCTGCTCGAAAAAAAAAACGATTTAAAATAAGAATACCACGTTTTATTTGTAACATGCGTGAAAATATATTAAAACGTACCGATATTTTCATGCCACTGAGTATAAACGTATATATGTATAAATATGTAGATAAGGCAAGTGGTGAGGAAACGGTTTCCTTCCAGTCTTGCTATCCGATTGGTTTCGTAACTCGGATATCTCGATGTGTCAATCAATAAAAATACTTTATCGATTAAGCAATAATCAGCATTGTCTGTGCAAGTAAGAATGATATAATATATAAAGAACTATATATATTCTATTTAGTTTTATCTTATTACATTGAGCATCCATCCCACAATCTTTCAATAAAAGACGATTAATGCGATAAATGTTCAACTAGTATAAGAATTTTTTATTTTTATGTACTAAAGTTAGAAAATATTTAGCTAAGTAAATACAAAAAGACATTATATACTCCGTAAATGCATTATTTCGTTACAATTATTTACATTTTCTTATATTTTATTTTATTTATCTGAAATAGCATACTTTGAACCAGGAAACAAAATTGTATGTCAAATCAATTAGACTAATTAGACTTAAATATACACACTATTATATCGACTTAATTTTAACTTATTCAGAATAAATGACATTATAACAAATATTAATATAAATTGTATTTGAAGGAAAACTATATAAATATATTCTTATAAATTATATAAATATATGCATATGTATTTATACAAATATTTATAATACTATATATTTATATAAATATACATATATGTATATAAATTTTGTATTTTTTGCAAATGTTACATTTTACATATAACAAAATAAAAATTAATAAATATACTAACATACGAAAAAGATTTTTTGACATAAGTTTTAAATAATATGTTTAAGTAAAATGTTATTTTTAAAGAAAAATGACATTTCAACTAGAATATATCAAGCTGTTTGTTGCTTTGTCATCTATTACCTAATTCTATTACTGTTTCACTGATATAATTACGTGTTAACAAATAAGAAATCAATTTTTATCTGCTTATCTAAATAGTATTACAAAAAAAGTATTATATTACAAGGTACAATTAATGTAATAAAATAAAAGAGATTTAATGATACGATATTTAGGGATAACAATGAAGGGTTGAGCGCAAATATACAGAAACGAGAATATAAGTAAGATTAATGAATCCATTATATTATAGTATTGCTATCTTTCACATATCTTCTTTCTTTCATACGTTTAATCCTCTATAGCTATATCGCCGCCTAAAATATTATAACAATTTAATAATTATGAAATGAATAACGTTACCCTCATTACTTAATTACTTACACTAATTTTTTCCAAGATGGTTTCCACTGGTTTGTCTTGTTTTGCAGTTTCTTTTGAATCTTTAATATTTTGCTTATTCTCCCCCACAGTGGTTTTTTTCTCCAAAGCGTTTCTCGCCTCTATCCTCTTACGATTCAAAAAAGCCATACCATGCACCCTCAGATGCTTGTCTACTGCAGCTTTATCTTCAAAAACTGCCATACAGACGTAGCACTGATTAGCTACCGTTGTTTTCTCTTCAGTTTGCAAGTCACTGTCAAGATTAGGAGCGTAAGAGGGATTTTGATTCATATAATTGATAGGATCTTCTATACCGTGAAAAGCTTTGAGATGCATCTGCAAGCTGGGTGCAACCACAAAGTTCTCGCCACATTCTAAGCATATCAGATAACGCCCCTTCAATCGATGATTAGCAGCAATATGTTCTCTCAAATTGGACATATTAGAGCATTGTTGTCCGCATTTCTTACATATAAAATTACCTTCACCGTCCTCTGCTGTTTCTTGCTCCACACATAACCCTACTGGTGGGTTCGTATCCTTTATTTCTATATGTTTTCTCTGCGTCCATCGACGTTTTCTTTTAGATATAGGTAAAGTATTATCCGATTTCCGTTTTCTATTATTAATAAATTGTTTATAGCCGCCATTAATAAAATCGTGTGACATCCGTGATAATCGCGGAGTAATTATTGCCACTTTGTACTCATCTGAATGTTTTTTACGAAAATGTGCCTCCATTACGAATTGAGAAGTATTAATCCGTTCATTACATAAATGGCATAGATAATCAATAACTTCTTCCTTTTCCGATCCTAGAGAGATCGTACACACTTTTGAGTTATCAGCTACGAGAGATTTCGAGCTTAAATTTATTGAGTCATTAGTCGGCTTATTTTTTGACTTGATGACTTCTATAGATTTAAGTAAATGCTGTGGGATCCTGGTAAGCGGAGGAGGTTTTGGTATAGGTACCATGTTACTTGCATTTTCTTCTTTTTTCTGTGTACTGCACATTTCTGTACTAACAAGTGGCTCTATGTTCGATTTACATATTGTTTTAATATCAACTATTTTTATACGGCTATCTGTAGTTGTTTCGAACATGGAATTTAAAACTTGTTCATTCGATACAATTGGCAAATTTGGAATATGTCTAACTGTGTCTATTAATGAAGACTTTTCCTCAAATTCGGGAATTTGTGAAGTATTCATTATCAATTTTTTATCTTTATCAAGTTCTTTTGCCTTTATTGTCTTTTCCTTATTATTAGATTTGCTATCATCTAATTTCATTACTGTTTCTTCATGTGGAATCATCTTTCCATCACTATAATTAACTGCAAATTGAAGAAACGGAGAATTGGATTCAGTTTTTGTTTCAGTTAAAAATTTCGTGATTGCCTTCTCAGATTTGGATGACCTTAAATCATTCATCGATACGACGCTGACTATTTTTGGCAATAATTGTCTATTTTCCTCATCATTAATATTCTTCATTACTTGAGAACCTTCGTTAACAACTTTATTGGTATTTGTAGGCCATATATGTTCCATATTTTGAGAGCCACGTTCGAATATTTCTGAACTAATAGTTTGAGTATTCACAATTTTAGGTACGACCATGGTACCACTCAAAAGAGCTCTTTCAGTTTTTAAAACGAGAGCTTTTGCACCGAAAATTAAAGCAAATGCTTTTTCGCTAAGAATTTTTGACAAGGGTTCTACATGATTGTTTCGTAAATGAGTGTTCAATAACATCGCCACATGTTTATTATCTGTAGTTATTAACTGGCAAAAAGGACATTTAAACCATACTAATTTTCGAATTACAGGATTCTTCTCCAAGTATGGCATATAATTCTCGCAACGTAAGATTACATTGCTTAGTTTGTATATTACTAGTCGTACTGGCTTCTGTTCTGTCTTCGGCGGATGTGTCTTTGTATAATGTTGTACGTACTCATTATATGAAGTAAATACTCGATTACAAACCTCGCAACCGATCCTTGTATTGCTATGCATGATAACAAAATGTCTGGTGATCGATTCTAAATCTCTAAAACCATCTATTTCGCAAATTTTACAACCAAATGTAACCTTCTTCAATGTATGAAAGCAAACAGTCCATGTATGAACTTCTAAGGATATAGGAGACTTAAATTTGGACTCGCAATCTGGACAAGTAAAAGGTTTTTTCTTCTTATGAAAGTTTTGATGCGCGATAAACCGTGAAATACCACCTTGGTAAGATTGACACTCATGACAAACTTCTTTATAACAAGAACAATAATTATTTTCATTCTCAGACAATTTTGAAAAGCCAGCTATATATGATTCAGATTTCCTATGTCTATTGCATGATAGACATTTATGCTCTCGATCTACCTTCGTTTCCCATTCATTTAATATCACGTCATCGATTCTTTTCTCACGCTGTACGTTCTGGTTAGATTTACGGAGACATTCCTCTAATATGCATTTGAGAGTATCAACAGCTCTTAACTTTTCTTGAAAAACGTTGAGTGATATGAAATTCAAAACGTGTTTCATTTCATCATTAACATATTGTAAATGCTCGAGACGTTTTTGCAATTCAAAGCTCTTTATTTGATGAAATTCATCAAACATTTCTCGTCTATATTTTGTTATTACATCACACACAGAAAGATAGCTTTCTTTCGCAATACGATCTACTAATTTTACATCCATATAAAGATCTCCATTTTCTTTTTTAATCAATGATATTATTTCCGACATATATCTCGAATGCATAACAGATACTGGAATCAAATGTGGAGGCATTTTTTGTAATTTTGGCATAATTATAGTTTTGTTAACGCATGAGTCTTTGTTGGATAATTCAGAAGGAGATGGTAAAGGTGGTGAGAGCGAAATATTGTTAGGAAGTAAAGTAGTTTGTTGCATACCATTTTCAATTTCGTTAGAATTAGTAGATTTTAACATTATTGGCTTTGAAATGTTAGGTTTAGATGCCAATTTTTTCGTAACTTTTGCAATGTTTTTCACAGATGATGAATTAGAAGAGTTTTTTAGATCCTTTATAATACTTTTTATATGTCTAATAACGTATTTCTGTCCGTTATTTATTATAATTTTTTCAGTAATATCTTGTTTGTTGACATTGGAATCAAATATCTTCTGTGTTGATGTATTGGAACTGTTATTATCTACTACTGAATTGCTTGAATCTTTTTTGACAATCAATTCATTCTCGCTGTGGGATGTGACATTACATGAATCTTGTCCAATGAGAACTATTTTCTGATTGGAAATAAGATGAGATGGAAATTGGTTAATTATTGTAATATTCTTTGGATCTTGGATATTTAATATCTTATTATTTCCTTTTGATGTTTGAAGACTTTGTTTCGACTGATTTAAATTAGTCTTAATTATTGAATTTTTTGTAGCAGAAAAGGGGATACTAATCTTAATTGAATTGTCCAGAATTGTGCTAACGCCAGTTTTGGTTATATTACTAGGATTACTGAATTTGCTAAGATTGTTCTCTGTAGTTTTTTTAATAACATTTTCATGAATCGTATTTGTTTCATCTGAATTGCAATCCTTAAAAGTTTTATATGTTATTTTATTATTCATTTTGATAACATTAGCTGAGCGATAAGATTTTACTTCTTGCTTTCTCATTCGCTTCATTGGTATTTCTGGCTCAAAATAATGTGAAGTAGGACCGCAATCCACAAAAGTAATATCAGCTGATGTACATGGATTATCTTCATTTTCTATAATATTCTTTTCTGAAATTATGTCTGCAGAATAATCATTTATATTTTTATCCATAGAATCATTATCAATAAATTCAATATCTGGGGAGTTTCTGTTAATATTATATGTAGTGTTAAAAGAATTGGAATTTGTAAATGTATCGATTGTTGACTTATCATAGGATTCAAACAATTGTCGACCCTGGTAACTATTGACAATTTTCTTTATATTAGCGTCGGAACTTTTGCCATTAATCAGCTTCCACCAATTATCTTGCAAGTTATGCTCCTTTAACCAATCTATAATATGTATGCGTAACAAAAATGCCATTTCCATAAGTGCTTCGCATAGTATCTCAAATTCAGAAGACCAATCACAATTGCTCATAGAAAGAGGTAGAGGAATTAACATTAAATCACCCATATTTACTGCACTTAATCGATGCATTTTCATGTGATTGATAAATTGGCACTGATTGTAGAATACTTTTATTACTCCCGATCGTACATATTTATTTAAAGATTTTGTTTGTAAATATGCGCGTTTTTTACTATTCTCTTGTATACACGCAGTACATTTTGTATAACCTTTCTTGGTTGGATGAATACATACTGTATCAAAACAATAACGGCACCAAAATCCTAAAATCCAACAATGCCGTGCATTGTGATCCTCAAAACTGCTTTGAAAACGAAAACTAAAACAAAAACATCTGTATATGGACTATAGTTACATAACAAAATAAATCATAAAATTCTATCATATCTTATTATATAACATAGTTGTTAAAATACTTTATTTCAACTCACCAATCTCTGCAATGTCTACACACATATAATGGACCAGATTCTACAATCTCCTCACTCAAGGATGCTGGTGGTTCTGTTGGCATGAAAGGTATACAATGCTGACTAAATACAACATCCTGTACAGCTTTGTGATATTGTAATCCCCATTTGTCTCCAATATTTTTATTTTTATGCACTTTTGGTCCAATGCGTATGGACCTTGTACTAAAGCGATCCTGAAAACAATTGCCAATTTTGGATAAAAGGTATTAAATATTATTTTCTTATTAAGATACAGAGTTTTATAATTTTATATTAATATATCCTGCAAAACTATATTAATTTGTAAACTGTCACAACAATCTAGTTAATGCTTTCACAATACATATCACTACTAATAAGATATTAGAACAAGCTTTCTTTTACACTTATATCAGCCTTATTAATCAACACGTTTATTATGCATGCACAGGTACTTTATTCATGGAATTTAAAGATAATTTTATCTTGGATATTTATTACAGTATTTGTTATATATGGAATTTAATGAAATGAATTGATATATTATCCCCTTTTTCTCTCTCCTCCCTTCCACTGTTGTCTTTACATATATATATATATATATATATTTGATTTTTTACCATAGATATTTGTTACAATATATTTATCACATATGGAATTCAATGAAATGAATTAACACATTGCTGCAAATCACCAAGTACATGGTTTTCAGCCATGTTTCTTAAACGCGAGCACTCTGTCGGTAAAATAGTGCATGATAGGGCTGCCATAGTGGAAAGTTATTGAAACAATTTGTGATCGGTCACAATTTAATCATAGATATCCATGATTAATTAAGCATGTACTGTATGTAATACTTTATTAAATTGACTTATTAATGTTAACTATGCAGCCTGATAAAAACTTTTATATTGTAACTTAGCATAATGTAATAATGTAACATATGGTTCAATACCATTGGTTTCACAGGATAATGGAATCAGATTTTTTTATGGTCCTATTGAATGAAGTAAATCTTCTAAGAGATGCTCCAATCAGAAGATCCTAAAATTTATATGCGGATTTTAGATATGCATTTTATAATACAATTTGTCACAGTTGGACGCATGAGCTCTGATAAATAAAATGCTATGAAGATATAACATACATTCATTAACAAAATATTATAAATAATTATGGCCAACTATAAACAAGCAAAAAAGTTAATTAAGTTACTATATCATATATATTTCTATGAATATAATCAATTGTTTAAAAGGTGCTCTAAATTGTATATTTATATTTTTTATATTTATTTATTTTTAATTAATGACAGTTTATTGCTAAGACCTTTATATTTTAACTAATGTTGGCTCGTAGCCCTGTTTTGTATTAATTATTTTTTATATCATTTTTAAATAACAAATCTTAAGCACATACATCCATCTGCAAAAAGAAAGAATTACTTTCAATATGTATTATACCTGAAGCAATACAAATACTTAAGGAAATTAAAGATACTTATAGATCTGTAATGTTATTCGCTTTCCTTAGATAACCATTTGTATTAGTAATTACTTCACTTATAACATCACATAGTACCTGAAACAAAGTAGATAACATTTTAAGTATGTGAAATAATGTACTAATAGTTGGATCTTATGTTCAACATAAGTATATATTTATATATATATATGTGTGTGTGTGTGTGTGTGTGTGTGTGTGTGTGTGTGTGTGTGTGTGTGTGTGAAATAATGCATTAACATAGTCAGATTTTATATTTAAGACATCCTTAAATTTATCTTTAGATTTTCAATAGTCAATAAAATAATTTGTAGGATATCTAAAGATAAATTTAAAAAAGCCTTGAATAATATGGCTTTACTATGAATATGGGCGCATAGTCTTAATAAGAGAATCATAAGTGAGTGATAGTCATGTCCACAAATGTGTAAGAAACAAAGTTATTAATATTGAGCTCAACATAATCTCTCTATTAAAGTTTATATTTTATAATTAGATTACAGAAAAATACTATTATAAGATATAATTAGTACCATTTCACACGAAACTCTTGGAGAGTATTATAACTGCTTGATGACTATTTGCCACTGTACCTAACCTCATAACATTCAATGGCAATCACTGTCAGAGTGCGCTAGTTACGAAAAACGTAACGTTTTACACGAGACAGTACAAGTGCACAAGGTGTAGTGTAGAGTCTGGGCTTAGCTGAAAACAATGTAGTTTTCTCTGGTTTTATGTACATATCTCAGATATAATAATAAACAAATTAAAGTAAAATTACGTCGATAACAATACATATTAAGTATTACTGGGAACATACGCGATTATCGTCATAAAATAAATATTGTTATATTAAAATAATATATAACAAAAAGGAAAAAGCTCCAAAAAATTAATTTACTTATATTGATATTTTTATTCAATATATTATTAATTTATATAATTATTAATTGTACAAATAAATAGGTTAAATTAACACTTACCCCGGATCCTCATACGGGCAACAGCGCTTTGACACCAAACGCTGATTGGTGAAAAACCGGTGGCGAGGGTAAAATTTACCCCCATAACCCGTTTTTCACCAATCAGTGTCCGGTGTCAAAGCGCTGTTGTCCGTATGAGGATCCGGGCTTATTTTCGATGGTAATTGATCTTTTTATTGTTTTTATTCCAGCAAAGTACGAGACTGGAAAAACTACATATAGATATTGAAATAAGATCTTAGAAAAATTCTTAGTTTTTCATAGATATTCATAGTGAAACGTAAAGTGGCGTTATTTGTTTGAAATCCAAGAAATCCTCTGCTAATCTACATTCCATTACAAATATCTACAAAAAATTAAGAATTTCTAAGTTCTTGTCCTAATATATCTACATATATAGTTTTTTTGTATTTTTTGTATGCAACCTACGAAAAATGAGCTGCATGTACATACAGCTCATCCGTGAATTTTTTAAGTCTATTATATTATATATATACACACACATATATATATGGTTTTATATTAATATATAGGGTGTCTGGAAGCGATCACATCACTCATCATGAACAGATAAAGCGAAAGCCGGAGATAGTCGAATAAATAAGTCGACGCATGCGGGTCGCACAGAGCAAGGATGACCTAGCGAGCGCGCTGTTCGAATCATGACCGTCATGGCGTCATGACGTTTAGAAGCTCGCGGCGCGCGGCGGTGTGTACTGAGCGAATGAAAGCTATCTTTAAAAATTAATATCTCGTTATCTATTATTACAGCTGCAAAATGATAGAAGACTTTTCGATTCAGTTCAGTTCGCTCTACTTGTTCATAATGCGAGTGATATAATAGCTTTCTGACATCCTATATATATCATAAATATATATACGTATAATATATATATATATATAAATTTTTCTTTTTTGCGATTATTTGATCAAGAATATGTATTTCTTGTTTTTTTTCTGAAATTTGTTAATTTCTATTTTGAACGATAAAAAACAAAAAAAACAGAATAAGAAGTAAAAAGACAAGATGTAAAAAGGACGAGGGCAAGTCAAATAAGTTTTTAGAAAAACATAGTAAAACATATTTTTTTTGATCGTTTCATTTTTATTTCTCAACATAGTCTCTTTTCAGCTCGATATATACTTGATCCAACCATTCCCCAACTTCTTCAAGCCGTCCGAATAATATGATTTGCCCAATGATCCTTCAAAATAAGCTTCTGTTTTGGCGATGAGCTGCTCTTTGGTGGTGAATCTCTTTCCTCCGAATCATTTCTTCAGGTTTGGAAATAGAAAATAGTGGGCTAAATCTGGCGAATATGCTGGATGGGGAAGCAATTCGTAGCGGAATTCGTTGAATTTGGCCATCGGTGCCGGGCACGTGTGAACCCGTGCATTGTCTTGATGGAAGAACACTTTCTTCTTCGCCAAAAAATGAGGACTTTTTTCTTGAAAATGTTGAAACGGTCCAATAAGGCTGCGTAGTAATCGTCATTGATCGTTTGCTTCGATTAAAGGTAATCGATATGAATTATACATCCCAAAAAACTGTGGCCATTATCTTTCTGGCCGACTCCACGGTCTTCGCCTTCTTTGGAGCTGGTTCACTCGGTGAAATCTATTGTTTTCATTGTTCTTTCGTTTTAAGTGTGAAGTAATGAATTCATGTTTTGTCTACAGTAATAAATTGAGGCAGAATTCATCTGGATTACGTTGAAACATCTCCAAACATTGTTTTGAAATCGTCGTTTTGAACACACGGTGGCGCTTATGGGGCCATTTTCCACAGTGAGCAAACGCGGCACCCATCCTGCCAATAGCTTTTTCATACCGAATTGTTCGTGCAAAATTGGGCGCATTCAGCAGAAAAGAGCGCTACGAGAGCGCTCGCTGTTATTGGTATATTCTTCCAGATTTAAAATTCTGATTGGATGATCTAGAAGAATACACCAATAACAGCGAGCGCTCTCGTAGCGCTCTTTTCTGCTGAATGCGCCCATTGAAATCAATGGGCGCGTTCAGCGGACTCAACAGTTGAATGAGCGCTCGCTGTTATTGGTGTATTCTTTTAGATCATCCAATCAGAATTATAGATCTGAAAGAATACACCAATAATAGCGAGCGCTCACTCAACTGTTGAGTCTGCTGAATACGCCCAATGTGTCATGTGATATGCCTGTGGCCTCAACAAGCTCGCGCACTTCCACTCGTCGATTAGTCAAAACAATATCGTAGACTTTATTGATGATTTCTGTCGTATGACTATATACCAGGTATGTAAATATGAAACCGGAATTTACCAATAGATGGCCATAGCCATGATGTAAGAAAACAGAGAAAACAAGGTGTACCATTCCCGAGAATGCGCAGTGGTTCTGCTCTTCAACCAATCAGAGTTCGCCCTCAAATGCTAAGAAGTGTCATGGCTTCTTCCATACATGCAGCATAGCTGACTACTGTCAAACTATATTGATATTGAATCGTTTAAATATCGTTTGAATATCGTTTATTCATTTAGTTTAGTTTTGTATAATATATTATAGTTTGCAGAAATGCCAGCGTGCTATGTAAAATATATATCCGAGATTATAAAAAATATATATGTTCGGTTATGTTGCTCATAGATTCCGCAATCGTATAGTGATTTGGGAGTTCCCACGAAAAATTTGCTAAATCCATCATGTAACGATTGGATTTGCACGATATCCTGAGGAAATTGCAATGTATCTCTCTGAAAAGCTGCAAAATGTAGCAGAAATTATAGATGATGAATTTTTTAAATTTCACGGTATTTCTTTCAGTAAAGAAAACTTTTGATAAAACAGATGTATAATGTAAATTTAGTATTTTATTATTATTCTTACATATTTACTTTCATATATTGTTGTATTACACGGTTTTTTAGAGCATTATTAAGTATTAATAGTCTGATCTTAGTTCAGCGTTTGAATCTCGTGCAACATTTAGGGGCGAAATTTGATTGGTTGCTCCAGTATTCAGTCGCCATTATGCGCAATGGTACACCTTGTTTTCTTACATCATGTGTATGGCAGTCTATAGCCGCAGGCCGACTGGCCGGATGTTCAGTTCAGATTGATCAATTGTGCGGATCTATATTCCGTAACAGAGTCGTCGTCTGGTGATTGTTAGTTGCGCAACTACGAAAAATGCCATTTTATCAATATAATTCATTTACTGGCAAGCTGAAGCCGTCTACCAATTTTCAACCGCTGTATCCCATTGTAAGTAAGGATGCACGCATTCTGTGTCTCGCGTACGAAAATTTATCGACGTGATTGCTCGGTGTTGGCACGTCTCTGTTCAAGGGTGTCACCCAATTGCTCGGTTCATTATTGGTGTGAAATCACAGTGTTCGCTTTGCTTTCTCGGATGTTTTGCCCTTGATATTGATCGTCATTTGATTATCAGGTCTGATTTTATCAAACGTAGAGTAGTGATTCGACTATGTCTAGTATGGACCTGCGTTCACGTAACAGCTTTATTAGATCTTTTTCGATTGACATAATGTGCTATAGATATTAATTAATAGACCGAATAAAGTCTATGTTAAATGAGTCTATCACACGTCAACCATAATACTTTGGAAACAAAACGATCAGTATCTTAAATATATAATAAGTCTAGATTCTATAAATATATTTTTATCTAGATACTAGAGAAAGAGAGAAAGGAAAGGGGGAAACAATCTTAGCTAAAATATATTAATATTTTTATTCAATGCATATGCAGTAAATAAGCAGTAAAAGTTTTTATGTTGTTTCAGTCTCCTCTTCCTTTACAGAAGTCCGAGCCAGTAGTAATTTATGACTCCATCAAGACAAAACCAGTGACGATTACACCTAAAGCAGGCTATTGCACTGATAAACCACCCACCCTTAACCCAAAATTATGGGCAAAGTACAAACACTATGGGGTTAAGTATACATAACAATAATTTTCAGCTGTAATTTTGAATATAGATGTACTTTACAATACATTTCATCTTGTTTGCAGGAAGCATTGCAAAAAGATATACCAGTATACATAGCAGGTGGCAAAAGTGATAAGATAATATTTGGGTTAGTATGTGCTACTGTTGGTATTTGTACATTAAACTCGTTCTACGTTATTATAAGGGAAGCATTCTTTAAAGACTAAGCGAGTATTACGTAGATACCTGCTTAGTTTTAGTGAAGAATAAATTGTATAGATTTTTCTGGCATTGCGAGCCTGTATTGACATTGCAAATGTTAATAATAGAAAATAATAAAAAATAATCATATTGAATTAAAATGTATATTTATTAATGTATTCTTTTTATCCACTTCACATTTTCAAACGTTCGAAGTATTGTACGAAATTATGAAAAATAGATTTTGTATAACAGGAAATATGTTTTAATATACTAACATTGTCTAGTTTTTATTGTTGTGTGAAAGAGATGGCTTTTATAATAATCGTGATGTAAAAAGACTATAGTTAATTATTTTAGTTTTTATCATGGTATAAGAAAATTTCATGATTGTTATAAATTATAAGTACATTATATGGCCTGTTCCTTTTCAAAATATTTTAAACTAATGGCTAATGCACTAGGAATACTAGGATGCTGCTCACTTGACGCTACAAATGCTTCGAAACTTTCGATTGGTACGCGACCAAAGGGTACTCGCGTGTCTCGAATACTTGCGAGAATTAGTTCCGTTGGACTTCTGGTGGCAGGTCGCCACATGAGTTTGTATTCTGGCAAAGCATAATGATCTGCTCATTATATAAATACAAGGGTATTGCTCGTCCGGTGGTAGACCACTGCGCAGGAATTGGAGTGGTAGGGGAGTTTACATGTGTGACGTCATCACCTCGGCTGTTTCTGGAGCGGTTCGTGTAGGTTCGACTCCTTGAAATAGGGCCGCTATTTATTCAGTCTAACAGCTGATTCATCGTTTTCGATAGAGTTATCGTATCACGGGCATCAGTGATAAGAAGAATTATCGAAAATAAGCTGTGCAGTAAAAGGATGTAAGAATTATAACCGGAAAACGAGAAATATGCCAGGAAGAAAAGTTCGATAGTTCTCTTTCCCGAAGGATAATGCAATGGTTTTGAAGTGGCTGAAAGTTTGCAGGAAACAAGACCTCTCTGTTGCCAGTACATTCCCGTTGTTCTTTGTTTTTTTTCCTTATATTTCTTTTATTGAAGCCATGAGTTAGTCTTATTTCTGACTGCCTATTTAAATTTTCCTCGTTTTGATGACGTCTACTTGGAGGCGATTCTTATTAATCACTTTTTTGTCACGTGATTTCTAGATACGTAATAACATACCCTTTAAATTGTATTTATATCATGGCTCTGCTTGACATCTGGCACTGTTTGGCACTCTGTCGCGAGGTTATTTCGTGAGAGCATTTTGCTCCACTGCGGGAGTGCGGGCATTCCGCTTTGCACGACAATCTGTTGTTTCATTCATTAATTTTCATATTCTTACTAAAGACATTCATTTGGGACGTGATCTAACTGTATCGATCTCCTATTTACTGTTCGGAGGCATGAGCCATAAATTAAAGAAGAAGAAGGAATAAAAGTCAGATAACAATTTGAAGGTTATGTTGTCATATCGTCTGCTACAAAGTCGAGAGCAGCAGAGATCTGAGAACCATCAGGATGTGACAGCCTGTTAAAGTAAATCGTGTTTCGGAATAAAATCGTGATAAGTCCTACGTCACCATGGAAGAACAAGGAAAACCAACTATGGTGTTCCATCCAATTATTTCCTCTATACAGAAAATTGCCTTGTACGAGACAAAATCTGTGAGTTTTGAAATGACATTCTAACTTGCATCTGATTTATCAAAGGTTTCAAGATATATTTTTACAGCGATTCTATCTGATGGGATCCAACAACACATTAACGCGTTTTCGAGTCTTGAAAATAGATAGAATGGAACCGAGAGAGTTGGTCGTAATGGATGACAAGAGGGAATACACTCAAGATGAAATAAAAGATCTCGTCAACATGATTGACGTAGGTAACCGAACGCGAGCAGGACAGCGTAGCAACGTGGGTGGTGTTGCGCGAATCGTATCTGCCTTTGGGATTGTTGGTAAGATCATTACACACATGTTTCTCTTGCATATTAACAAACACGGTGTTAATAATAACTACATGCATAAGCTTTTGCATATGTATTAAAACATAGTTATACTATTATGTGGTCGTACACATTTTAAATGGTGGCTTTAGAATTTATGATGTATACACATTCCTTTCTCTCTCTCTCTCTCTCTCTCTCTCTCTCTCTCTCTCTCTCTCTCTCTCTCTACTATTGATAAAAATGTTGAAGCTTAGGCTCCTCAGTGTTGCAAGTTTTGTCCTGGTATGATAATTTAACACTTTCCTATATACAAGATATTCTGATCATTAGCAATCGGAACACACTACAAAATTAAGAATTTTATCTCGAATCTATCAAACTTAATAATTTATTGATCCATAATTAATAAATTATTAAATAAACTTTTTTAAATATATTTATAATAAATTTTTCAAAATGTTCTCTTTTATTGTATGCAATAAGCCTATAAAATAGCTCGATCAATTATATTGAAATGTGTTATAAAAATAATTAAAAGTTTTTAAATGGTTTATTAATTATGGATCGACAAATTATTAAGCTCAACAAATTCAGGATAAAACACTTGATCTTGTAGTGTATTCTAATTGCAAATGATTAGATACACATACACCTAATACACTGTATATCATATATACATATATAAAACTTGTTACTGTTGTTACACGCTCTATTACTAATATCAATTATACTATCAGATACTAAAAGCACTTTATCGGATTATTATTAATTGTGTTATACGAAACTTAGTTTATTTACATTTGCTTGCTAATAAAGGCAAAAATAGTAAAGAACCTGCACCTAGTTCGAGTATATCAGAGGAGCCTGAGCAACCAGAATTACAAAAACCACTGCATAAACCGACACAAACTAAATTCACCTGGATGAGTATGTGGCAGAGAGACACTTTCCCCAGGCTAGTACCAGCTTTTGCTCTCCTTGGTAAGGCATAAAAGCTTTTTATTGCCAAAATCGAAGGTAGACGTATATAATTATTATAAACGGAATAACTTTGTTGCGGAATAATTTAATTGGCATAAGATGTAATATTTTGAGTGTTAATTTTAAGGAAATGTACGATAAAACATTTATTATGCATTGCCATTGATTATACAACACAGTTATTCGGTTAATGAATTGGTATTTGATAGGCCAATATGCAATCAGTTAGAGTAATAAACACTATGATTAACAGAATTAATATTCGCAATCAGACATCATGGTACATCATGGTATGTACATATCCTCCCTCATGCATGGTGTGATATTTACTTATATATTTCATATTTCTCACTGTAATGTAATTAGGCTAAATGCATGGATATCACATAACACGCAGATAATTGGCGCTACATATTACAAAAACTAGTAGTGCTTATGATTATGTATAAAATATGCAAGCAAATAATTGATATCCAACACTTTTTTTTTCAATGATTTAGAAATATAGTGGAAAGCACATTCGATAATAATTGACAATAATAATTATAGTGATAAGTTATAGACATATTTTTTAGAAAAAAATATTTGATGCAGGGTTTATACGTTTTTTGGAAGGATATTACATAATCCTAGTTACAAAACGTCGCCGAATTGCAGTTATTGGTCATCACACAATATACAAAATAGAAGATACATCAATGATATATATACCAAATGACATTGTACGAATCTTCCACCCTGACGAACAGAGATATGTAAAAATGTTTCAAAGTATTGATCTCAGCAGTAACTTTTACTTTAGTTATTCATATGATATATCACATACTTTTCAAAGTAATATGGCACTACCAACGCGTATCAAATCTGATGTTCTTATTGACATGTCTACTAGTCAAAGGGAATCTGAAGAAACAGATGATTCTGAAGACTTTTTTAACATGTGGGCATTTAGAAAAGATTGGCAGACTGAACAGTACGTTATAGTATCTCAATGCTCAGTTTATATAACTTAATTCGGGAATAATCATCTGATTTCTTTTGTATGAAAATAAAAGAATTCCTGATTACAGGAATCATATTATATATGTATAATATAACCAAAATACGTTCCTATGCATATTTAAAAATATCATAGATACGGATTTAATCACAATTAAAAAAAAAAAGTAAATAGAAACTAAATAAATTTGAACAAAATAAGTACGATACGTAGCTTCTAGCTTGTTATGATAGTATTTAAAAAAATAAAATTTTAATATAATGCTTTTTTATTATAAGAGTTTTCGGTAAAAAATTACATATTTAAAATATTTTGAAGATTCATAAAGAATAATTATTAGAAAAGGAAGAAAATATATTAAACCACATTCATATAAACACTAAACAATATTTTACAACAATTCACATGTTTATCGCTGAAGCAAGAATATCCCAGGTGACTATTCCCAAGTTAAAACATTTGAAGATATATAGATATTATATATAAATGTAATATAATAAGGAGATAATTAATAAGTATTTGAAATGTGTTTGTAGTAAAAGCGAGAAGTATATGGATTACGGTATACGTAGTAATCCACATCGTCGTTTTGTGTGGAATTCCCATCTTTTAAAGCCAGTAGAAAAAGATTTGCATCCTGAATGGATATTGTATATAATTCATGGCTTTATTGGTCAATCAAATGTGAGCATTTTTGGAAGATCTATGTACGTTACCGTTATTGCCAGAAGAAGCAATAAATATGCAGGAACACGTTTTCTGAAACGTGGTGCAAATTTTGACGTATGTGCAGATGTATTTATAATACGTGTTTTTCATAGATATATAAACTGATGATTACATATGAATACAGGGAGATGTCGCGAATGAAGTAGAAACGGAACAAATTGTTCATGATTCTGGCGTGAGTTCTTTAAGTAAAGGACGTTTCAGTTCTTTTGTACAAATGCGTGGATCAGTGCCTGCTCATTGGAGTCAGGATGTTAGTAAGATGGTCCCAAAACCCACTATAACTTGCGATTTATCTGATCCTTATGTAGAAACAGCAGGTATTGATATATAAAAATTGATAAATTAATTTTATTCTGATACAAGATTATTTTATTCTTGTACATCGAAAATACTTTTAGGAGCGCATTTTAATCAACTGTTAAAAAGATATGGATCACCAATAATAATATTGAATTTAGTTAAAAAACGAGAGAAAAAGAAAC